CCCGCTGCCGGCGCGTGCGGGGCCGTACCATGCGCATCCGCTCGTCCTCCAGGTTCCGCAGCACCGTGGCGAACTCCTGCAGAGACTTGGCTGGAAGGGACACACCCGCACGGTCAGCATTTAACATTTTATCTTATTTTTAAAGAAAGAGAGAGACTGAACAGGGGTTTTTGCTTGCTTATGTTTTGGAGGGTTGATTGTTTGGAGGTTTTTTTATCACCTTTGCTCCCTCCCCAGAAAGGCTTCCAGTTGCCTACAAAAGCAACCTGTAGCAGAGCATCCCCAGCACGGTGTTCCCACACGGCACCTTCACCTGGAACCCGCCCCACCCAACGGCCGGGCGCTGATCCCTGCTGCTCAGCCACGCTTGGCGCACGAGCGGCAGCTCACCAGCACGTGCGTCCCGGCAAGGGGACTCGGATGAGCAAGCTATTTTTGCTGAGATAGTCGGCACAAATAAATAAGCAAAGTTAAAGCAGGGTTAAAGCTCATTTGCTCTCCTGGCTCCAGGCAATGTGCACAATAAGCTCTGGAAGTTCAGCTGGGGCAGAAGCAGGACAACATGGAGAGAAGTGGCTGAAGCTGCTGCCCTGCGCCACGAGGAGCTCCATGGTGGAGCTGGGCTTGGTTCGGAGAGAGCTGCCAGGCTCCTGCCGGGTCCTCTGCTCCTGCAGCCTCCACAGAGGCTGCTGCTCCTCTCCCTCAGCTCACAGCCCTTGCAGTGCACTTAGCCACGACCTCATCTCCAGATCCCCGCTCTCCAGGGCAAAAGGGCTGGACAAGGCAGATGGTTTCAGATACGGGCCATCTTCCTCCCTTCCTGTCTGGCAGGGCTAATTTAGGCCAAGAAGCAACAAGTGATCTCCTTGAGAAGGCTTTGCTGACACTGAACCAGGAGAAACACGCCATTTCCAGAGCGCCAGAAAGCAGCCAGCCAAAATCCCAGGCCCCTCGGCACCCTCGTGCGGTTTCTGCCCCACGCCCTGCTCAGCTCGGGGGTCCGGAGCGCGGCTTCGGGGCTGCCCACGGCACCAGCGCCGGCACTCACCTATGCAGATCTCGTCATCCGTTTCCGCGTCGCCGATGCAGCGGAACTTAAACTCGTTGAGGGAGTCTGCAAACTTGCGCTTGGCG